ATGTTAGTTGATACATTTATTTCCTGTTTAGAAATAACTGTTTTGGGCTATCGGTGGAGGATAGTCGTGATTGTTGTAGACATTGCATGTGGATTAGGAATAACTGAAACTAATCACATTGGTTAAGTCATTTACTTTGATTATTGCATTGATACAGAAAATACGTGTATTGATTCAGCCTAGTAAAACTTAAACGTATCTGGCTTAACTCTACAACATAAGATTAGTTTTTCCTGTTGTACTACTATGGCAGATATTCCTGATTCTACTAGGCTCTAATCCAATGAAGATTAGTTTTTAAAAATCAAAATGAAAAGACAAAGTTTTAGATATTACAACTCATGACATGTCCAATAGTATTTGCTAAAATAATATTTGAAAATTGAAATGCTCATTTACAGGTCAGCAAGTTAAAACAAAAGAAACACGTTTTTTACAAATTGGAGCCAACAATATCCCAAAATGATCAAAATGGAAAATGTAAGCAGACTAGAAGAAAATAGCTACGGAAAATTGCACTTCATTATAAGTTTTCAAAAAATTTTGCAATTCATTGGTAAACTTTATTAAGTTTCATAATTAAAATTATAAAGGTTTCCATGAATGTGTAAATATTTTTGTGAAAATATCAGTGGTTTGCAATTTTCCCAATAGGTACATGTGTGCAGGATAAGACCAAAAGAAGAAAACTTCAGACAGGAAATTTAGCCACTGATCTTTCCGTAGCCCACTGCATTAAATTCAAAGAGAATCCTACATACGACATGGATAAACCCATCATAAACCCATCAAAATCATAGAGAATGCAAAATTAAAGAACTGATACCTACAAGAATCAAATAAACATAGCACGACACATGAAAATTGTGGAATTCAAACTTATTTCACAAATACTACGGAACAGGTTAATTGCGAGTACTAAACTCATCCGTACCTTTCATTGTTTCTGTCGTCAAGTACAGAGTCAACAACTTCGTCTTGGGCCGCTGATAAAACCTCTCTGCTCTCCAGTGTTATCAAGTCCTTCTATCAATATAAACAATCAAGTAACATCAACTCCTCCTATTAATATAAACAATTAACTAACTCACCACTGTTCAGAAATGTAATTTGCAAAGTACATAACACATCCTTATGCATCTAAAATTGGTGAAGCGATGTCTAACCTCTGAACGGAACCGCTTGTCCAACCTGTGCAGTTTGGACAGGAGTTTGTCCGAAATTTGTAAGACAATTGTACAACATTTGTTACTGCAAACTTGCAGTAGAATGACAAATATTAAAATACAACACAAATAATGGTTCTATTATGATTAGTAATGCTGTCGGCATCAATTGGTAATGAAACATACGAAAGGTGAAGTGATGTGGCGACTTGGGAATTTTTCGTCAGTAAGTCGAGTACTTATTTTACTATCGTTGCACAAATGCATATCCCCTACGTCTGTCGCTTCAACACCTCTTCCTCTTCATCTTCCTCTTCCTCTTCTTCTTCCCTTTCGTGTGCTTGTTACAATTTGTCCCGCTCCCAATGTTTGGGCAACCTTACCAGCAGAAGGATGCGCATTGTCTGCTTCTCCTCGCATTGGTGGCAAGGTTTGCAAATCATCAAACGAAGATAAACTCTGTTTTGCAACGTTCTTCATGGACAGAAACTGAACTGAAAGAGATTTGCTTTCTTCGCTTGCGTATGTTTCCTCCAACGCAAGGCGACGGTTGTTGTGCATGTCCCCAACTTCTTGGACGGTACGCAACTGTCCAACGTGCATATCAATTATCTCATTGGACAACATTCCATTCACATAATTGTCCTCCCAATCCACCCCCTGTAAATCTTGAACATTACCCTCATTTGGGCTACCATAATAATTTGGGAAGACCATGCCGCCATCATGCAACTCGACTCCCATGGTAGGGTCAACACCCTTTTCCTCTGAGCGAGGCAATTGTGCTGTTTTCGATAAACCTGCCAGCACTTGCTGCATCATTTGCTTCATTTCAGCAATACGTGTCTGTTCAGTAAACGGTTGTTTCCCAGACAATATAGCTGCAAGCAGTTCGTTTAGCATTCCTTTCAATTCACCAATGCTGGAGGATATGTTAATGTTACAATTTCTTTCAGTCAACAAACCTGCCAGCACTTGCTGCATCATTTGCTTCATTTCAGCAATATGTGTCTGTTCAGTAAACGGTTGTTTCCCAGACAATATAGCTGCAAGCAGTTCGTTCAGCATTCCTTTCAATTCACCAATGTTGGAGGATATGTTAATGTTACAATTTCTTTCAGTCGACTCCACCTAATCACACAAACACATACATTAACCTGCTACGATATTTCATCTTCAAGTAACCTCTGTAAACTGTGTGAAGCATGTGTACTGATTGCTTTTGCTTACCTTTACATTGTCAACAGCTGCCTTCCCTCGGAAATTAAGCAACATGTCCCTTATTTCTGCATTGTTGTGAAGCACTTGCTTCATGGTTTCCTTCAGTTCACCAATGTCGGTCTCAACCTTGCTCAAACGAACATCATCAATCCGTGGTTTCTGTTTGTTATTGACATGGTGTGTGTCAATTGCGTCATCAATGTCATTGGTTTCCGCTTTTGTTGGATGAAACTCCACCTAACATAGTTGTCAAATCGGGATTCAAATCATAAATGAAAATGATAATGCACTGAATCGTTAATCGATCTCAACTGTGAATCGTAAAGTTTCGGTCTGCTTTCTTAAGTTGCACACAACATATGTGTACACAGTTTACATATTAAATATATCTAATAAAAATTAATTACTCCATTTGTCCGAAATGAAAAAAAAAATTGTTGTAAATGATGCTCATCTGGTGTAGATAAAAACTTCACAGTCGATCCCATATTTACCACTTTACCTTTTCCCAATTACATAAACAAAGAGAAACTTTCAATTACAAACTAACTAACAATAACTGAACGACAATGTTTTGACCTTTTTACAAGGTTAAAAAACCAAAATCTTCAAGCTTTTCCAAAAATCTGACTTCAGGGCTTAACCAAAATTCATTTCGTAATGGAAGTAGTACATAAAATTGAATTTGTAAGGCTACAATATCGTCCACATGGAAACTTCATGTTTTTCTCCCAAAAGTTCGAGTATTTCAGAGTAAATAGGGAGGGACAAACTGAAAATATGACGTACGCTAAGGAATGGGTCACTGTTTGTCACCGCTTGTCACCTAGTCATAAGAACACAAATTCTGTCTGTCACCGTTATCCATAACACATGTGGGGCAATGCTGTCAAATGTGCAGAACGAATGGGTTGATTACCTCATGTTGCTGCAACATTTGCTTCCTTCCCATAAGTCGCCTCGTCTCCCGTATTTCGGCATCACCCCAATCATTTAGCCGAGGGATGGAGCGTGTAGTAGCCGACGTACTCTTACAGGGAGGGGCAAAACGATCCAAGTAAAATAGCTGCATTATAAGGGGGAAAAGATATTTACTATACACTTCCGAGCAAAATAATCTGTATTCGCTAACAATGCATACAACTTACAACACAATCATATGTATGTGTTTATGTGTCTCGATGGTAGAATCCCCATGCAGCTTTCCGGTTAAAAAGATAAGCTTTTCGTGGTTACAAAAAATGTGGCCCGTACAGATATATTTGTCATGCTGTTCAATAACAGGTAAGTTTGTATTTCGCAACGACTGCCATTTTATTGAACCATATACACAGCAATGGATGAAATATGTAATCGGCATGGTACAAACAAACAACGGTCGATTACGTTACCATTAGAAGGAAAACACATCCAGTTGCCTCGCGCTGAACTTTCATCTTATACTTCCGAACACCTTTAACAAGGAATTGCAGTGTCACATTTGCCCAATTACATGCCCCCATACCGAAACTGAACTGAAAGAGATTTGCTTTCTTCGCTTACGTATGTTTCCTTCAACGCAAGGCGACGGTTGTTGTGCATGTCCCCAACTTCTTGGACGGTACACAACTATCCAACGTGCATATCAATTATCTCATTGGACAACATTCCATTCACATAATTGTCCTCCCAATCCACCCCCTGTAAATCTTGAACATTACTACTGGAAAGAACCACGCAGTATGCCTACCGTCTTTGTGTACTTGCCGCTGTCCGTTAGTCAATTGAACCGCGACCAAGTTGATTGGCTGGAACATTGTAACAGACCAGGCAACTTGCGAAATAAGGTTTGCCATTTGTTTAAATGTAATACGAAATAACAATGTCCCTACATGGATATGTCCATCATGCAAATATAGTGGAAATAACATTGTCAGATGCCACGACTTACAGTGTCGGATAGCCATGCCCCTGAAAAAAAAAAAAAAAATTGAATATCAATACTCTGTGTTTTTAATGGTCTGTTGTATGGCTGTTTTTATTTTCTGTGCAATTTTTCACCGTTTGTGCATTGTTATGAAGTAATCAATTCCCCTTCAAAGTGCATTATAGTCACCGCTATTTGTTTGTTCTGTGGGCTTTTTTTTGCTTTGTTTTGGACAAAATCATGGCATTAAAAAAAA